CATGTGCACATATACCGCTTCTAAAAGAGCACCCATCTGTTCTCTTGGACCTTCTAATGGTGCACAGACACACACACAGACACACACAGACACACACAAACATACTCTCAGTGGCCACTTCATTAGTTACACCTATCTAGTACTGGGTGGGACCGTCGTTTGCCAGAACCACTTCAAGATTAAAAAATTTTTGTGAGATGCCTTTCTGCACGCTACTGCTCTACTGAGCTGCTGTTTTTGCATTCGTGAACTTCCTGTTAGCTCTAAGGAGTCCCTCATTAACAAGGTGCTTTTGGCCACAGAACTACCCCTGACTGGGTGTTTTTGTTAATCCTATCATTATACAGCAGTCACGGTAGTTTGTGAAAATACCAGGACAGTGGCTGTTTCTGACATGCTGGAACCACCAAGTCTGGTACCAGCAATCATACCATCTTTAACTTCACTTGGATCATGCATCTAGGCCAATCTAAAGTTTAGTTGAACAATTTCTCTTCCTCTCAAATGCATCTGCCTTCTTTACATAATGATTTGCAGCCACATTTGCACGTTTCATATTAGCTCTTTGTTAGAGCAGGGTTTTTGTGATAACGAGCGGATATAGAGTTATCCTACAAGTGATTTGTGCGGGCTGCCATCTTGGAGCACCGCTATAACTACAATGGCACTTTGCAGCCTGGTGACGGCGGCTGACAATGACAGCAGCATGAATAGATGGAATGACGGCGTCAGACAGAGTACCCTATACGGATGGCAATTGTCGCGTTATTCAAATTTTACAAGTTCATTAGACATAGGTTACCTAGAAATACAGAAAAAACGCCACATACTGTACTCACTTCAATTACTCATGTGTTGCGTTAACCATTACATACCAGTCACATCAGTAACAAAAAATGAAAATACAAATTTCTGTTTTCATAAGTATTCAAAATTATTTCATTAATTGTTTGGCCTCTGGTAAGCAACAGAATGCCAACTACAGGTCGGTCACAGAGTTTTAAAGTTACCTGAGCTCCGGATGGTTCGGGCAAATATTACACACTGGGCCAGACAATGCACACATTATTCTAAAAGGACCTGTCCGATACTCACAGCCCATTAACAACCACCAAAAGCCTGAAGTAGCTGTGAATTCTGGCATTCTGTGCAACGTCACGACCAAAGCTCTCAAGTTGTTTACAAGCAGGAAGGAATACTATAGGTTTCTATTAAAAATCTTGAATAGAGTCATAATTTTAAAACACAATAAAAGTATATCTATATAAAGGGTATTCTACCATCCCATATCTCATTTTGAAAATATATCGACATACTGTAAAAATTTAATATACCTCCTAGCTCTATTAGAGAATGGATAAATAACTCTGCTAAAGGCTAAAGGCTTGTGTGTTTTTCACTCACTTTTTCTCCAAAGTTGTAGTTTTCCGCTACTGTTTAAGCAGCCAATGACAATACAAGTTCTTCCTGCTTTCCTGGGCATGTATGTCAAAGTAACGTTAAATAATATATTACACTATGAGGACAGTTTCCATTCACATGCATGTATATTTGTGGGGAGATGCCACTGCAGTAATGGTGGCTATTTTACTTCCGGATTACTCTATAGTAGTGTTTCCCAACCCGGTCCTCAGGGACCCACAGATGGTCCACGTTTTTGCTCCCTCCTGGCTCCCGCAAAAATGTGGACTGTCTGGCAGGGAGCTGAGCAGGAGCAAAAATGTGGACTGTCTGGCAGGGAGCTGAGCAGAGCAAAAATGTGGACTGTCTGGCAGGGAGCTGAGCAGGAGCAAAAATGTGGACTGTCTGGCAGGGAGCTGAGCAGGAGCAAAAATGTGGACTGTCTGGCAGGGAGCTGAGCAGGAACGAAAATGTGGACTGTCTGGCAGGGAGCTGAGCAGGAGCAAAAATGTGGACAGCCTGTGGGTCCCCAAGAACTGGGTTGGGAAACACTGCTCTATACCTTTCAAAGTGACCACTGAATGTAAATCTCTTTTACCAATGTCTCTCCAGAAAGTTTAACGACAATACAGCCAGTGCTTACTACAGACTGGCTGACAGACCCAGAGACCACGAGTACCCTGACCAGTACAGAAACAGAAACCCATGGTTCCAGTGCTGTCTTCATTACAGTCCTTACTGGTATCCATTTTGGAGTTGGTTAAACACCTTTATTTAGAAATATGTCTGACAATTCACACATTAAACCGATTGTTGTCTTTGAAACCTGTGTGAGACAAATGACAAAATTGTACTTTAACAGATATATTAAACTTTTAACTTGATTTGGGCAATTTGGATGTGATGTCGGAATAATATGAACGATTGAGTGTGTTTGTGTTAACCCCTGTGTCTCTGCAGAATCACCAGCCGCAATGCCCGACCCACAGACAAGGACACTGACCAGTACAGCTGTCAACACTCATGGTATAACTTTCATTATGGTCAAATATCAGCTTTCTATGGATATACAGCAATTCTAAAGGGTCACCTGACTCTCACTGTCCTCTTGGACTTCCTGAAGATGTATGCACACTCAGATATGTTAATGTATTCCTCATGGATTTTATGAATATATATGCATTTTGTCAATATCGCTACAGAACCTCCGACAACACATCCTGGGACATCAAGTAGGCTGACAGACTCACAGACCACAAGGGCACTGACTACTACAGCAACAGACACTCATGGTATAACTTCCACACTGCCCCTATTACACCCACATATCATATTTCTCTGCTCTGTGCAGTTTACACACAGCTTCTGAAGCATCGTGCCGCCGTTCTATTGCCATCTGTTGAAAACATGTTATCTTCTGAACCATATTTCTTGCAATATCGATTTCCCAGCATCACGTCGTCCCTCGCATGCAGCAGCAGCATCTCCTGCATCGTCGCTCCGACGATCCATGAAAGACAACACCGAAATGCAGACTATCGCAGACACTGAGAGAAAGGGTATCTACTGTACCTTACTGGCTATATTGCATTACAATCATGAAACCTAAGAATTAACTTGACTATGGTTTATTCTATGGAAACATCATTTAATTTTACGGAAAATACAACATGTTTCTTTTACTTGCTCATTGCAGAACTAAAGCATCTGGACGTGAGTATTCAAGAACCATTCATACCAACGGAAGAATATTTCTACACGGAAACACAGATCAAAGATGCCGTGTTTTTCAGGTTCTGAATCTGAGCTTCTGGATTCTGGTACCGGGGTTAACCTTGTTTCTGGGGGCCGTGGGCCTGATCTTGTGGTGTAAGTATGCAGACGTTCATGTGCACAGAGGCGCGTCTCAGAGAAGCCATAATGATGTGTGTTTTCTAAACAGCGGTACCCAGATACTGTAACAGTCATTTTGGCTTTAGGGCAGGCCGTGGTAACATTCAAAACTCCTTTCTTTCAGTTTTTCATCATGGGGATCATGACAACTGCACAACAGTTAAAAAATAACAATGTTACTTTCATAGCTACATATTAATAAAATTATTTGTCAGGTATTTTCTTCTTTAAAATTTCATCTAACAATCCTTCTATGAAACTGGCCAGCTGAGTTCAGTGAAGAGGTGCATGACTTTGAAGGTTAGGTTGCTAGGCCTCTGACCAGAAGGTTGCTGGTTCAAATCCTGGGGTCAGCAGAGAGAGCAAGGTCCTTAAGCCCAAATAGCTGACCCTGCCTTGGTCCCCACAATGTAATATAAACCTAATCCACACACATAAACCTGTCATCATATCTTTGTGGGGACCATTCATTAATATGGGGAAAATGATAATGCTACTGTAACTACAACAACCTTAACCCCTACCCAACCTTAACCATAAGTAACCAAACAAAATATATTTGCATTTTTAGTTTTTTGATTGCAGTATAGATTTTTAGAAAACTGAAGTTTCCCTTATGGGGACCAGGAAAC